ACACACACACACACACACACACACACACACACACACACACACACACGGCCCCCAGAGGGCAGTTAAGTGTCAATCACATTGCTGTGGGTCTGGAGTCACGTATAGGCCAGACCAGGTAAGGATGGCGGTTTTCTTTCCTAAAGGGTATTAATAAACCACACAAGTTTTTCAACAATCAACAATGATTCATAGTCATTATCAGACTCCTAATTCCAGATGTTTATTGAATACAAATTCCACAATCTCCCATAGCAGGGTTCAAACCAGGGTCCCCATCAGAACATTACCAGGGTCTCTGGATTACTAGTCTAGCAATAATACCACTAGGCCATCACCTCCCAATATATGGATGAACTCCAGCTGCTTTGACCAGGTCCAAACAAGTGGCTCTTTAGCATTTACTTAATTTCTGCTTCTGCTTAAACTTGTTCTTATTGGTTCTCACTCTCCTGCACCCAAATCATGCCTAGCCAATATAGTGCATCCAGATGCATCTCTACAGGTTGCCTCACACTTCCTCAGTAGTCTTAGAAGATCCTTTGTTGTCTCTTCTCCAAATATGAGAACACACTGTCCAACTGTCCCAGCATTTCTATGTTAGCTAATCAAATTGTAGGAGATTCACTTTGAGATCTGTCTTCTATCTCAGTTCCATTACCTCCTTCTGGTAAGATGGTAGGGGAGTCGGGCCTCTGAACCCAGGGCTCGGCCACTCCTCCTGCTTTTCTTTTTTTCCCCTTTTCTCTTGTTTTTTTAAATTTTATTTTACTTACCTTTCGGTGAAGAGCTCGGTCACATCAACAGCATTGGCGAGCGGGCCCAGCGCAGACTCCAGTAGGTCCAGCAGCATGGACCTGTGGCAGCGACATCAGGGGCAATTTTGGTTTCCCGCTCACTTCTGCGTCCTCGAAGTGGTCCTAGCACCGACTCATGGCTGCTGCGGCAGAGGTGAATCTGGGTTCCCAACCACATCTACGTCTGGTACAAAATTATGCAGGCAACGGAGGCAGGCCGAAGTATGAGACTCAGCAGCAGCTGCCGAAGTATGAGACTCAGCAGCAGCTGCATCAGTGAGGTTGGCCTGTAGCGGACTCACGGAGGCAGTAGATTCATGTTTGGGCTGGTGTGGTAGCCGGTAGCATTGGTGGTGTCAGCATTGGCGAGGTCCAGCAAGGACTCAGTGGCGAGGGCGTTGGTGGAGGCGAGATGGCACCAAAGGATGGAGACTTCTGTTCCACTAATAACATTGCGAAGGGGACTCATGCCTGGTCACCAGGTCCCTTCCCATGACAGAGCACTTTACAAGAAGGACTGTACAGTTGATCACTTTTTCTTTATTTCTTCATTTTTCTGCCTTTATGTTCTATGTTTGGTTTACTTTTCTGTGTTTTAACATGGCGCTGGAGAATAACAACACTATATAACACTTTTCACTATATCTTATAACAAAACACAGATGACATTAAATAAATCAAATCAAATCAAATTCACTTTCCACAACTCTTACCACCTGACACAACAGTTCCTTCTTATCCTCTTTCCTATGATAATACCTTTTCAGCAGTTGTACGGTATAATCAATTCTTCCTACGATCAGGAGTATTTATCAGGTTTAAAGACAGAAAAACGCGTACATTTTGCATATAAGGATACTTAATGAGTTAAGAGCCTATGATGTTGGGGCGATATATCAGCATGGATAGAGGTTTGACTAACTAACAGAATGGAGAGAATTGGGATAAAGAGGGCATTTTTGGATTGCAACCTGTAACCATTGATGTGCCACACAGATCAATGCCAGGGCCAGTAATTTACAATATATATTGACAGAGCAGATGTACTGTAGCCAGGTTTGCGGATTATACAAATATACATGAGAAGGCAAATACTGAGGATGACTCAAAGAGACTACAAAGAAATATAGACAAATTAAATGAGCAGATACAAACATGGTAGATAAAATTTAAAATGTGACAACATCAGGTTTAGCCATACCTAATTGCCCTAATTGAAAAAGATGGTGATGAGCTGCAGTCCTTGTTTGTAGAGAAACAAGTGAAGGGATAGTTCCAAAATCAGGATGATGTGGGGCTAGGTGGTGGCTTTCCAATGCATCTGCTGTGCTCATCTTTCTTGATGGTCAAGGTCACAGTTTGAATGTACTGTTGGACAAGGTCTGGAAGGTTACTGGAGTGTATCTTGTAGATGGCAGAAACTGCTGCCACAGTGCATCAGTGGGGAAGGGAGCGAATGTCGAAAGTGGGGGAAGAGAATGAATGTTGAAAGTGGGGGATGGGGTGACAATCGAATGAGCTGTTGTTGGAGCTGTACACATCCAGGCAAGTGGGGAGTATTCCATTATGCTCCTCACTTGTGCTTTGCAGGTGGTGGACAGACTTCAAGGAGGCAGGAGGTGAGTTACTCGCTACAGTACTCCTAGGCTCTGACCTTTCTTGTAGCTACTGTATTTATATGACTAGTCCAGTTCAGTTCCACCTGGTACTTGAATTACAGAAAACTGATCTGCAAGTGCTACAAGTAATTAGGAAAGCAAATGGTGTGTTAGCTTTTGATACAAAGGGATTGTGGTATAAAAGAGTAAAGTTGTCTAACTACCATTATATAGTTCATTGGTAAAGCTTAACCTGAACATGTGTGCAGTTTTGGTCTCTTTACCTAAGAAAGATTGAGAGATGATGGTAAATATAATGGAAAGATTAATGAAATTAGTTGATGACCTGGCATTTGGCCTTGAAGCCTCATGGTTGATCTGACTGTAACCTCAAACCTACATTCCTGCCTACCCATGATAACCTTTTATTCCCTTGCTTACCAAGAATCGATCTATCTCTACCTTTAAAAATATCCACAGATTCTGCTTCTACTGCTTTCCAAAGACATACAATCCTCTGGGATTAAATAAAAATGGTCCTCATCTCTGCTTTAAATAGGTGGCCCCTTACTTTTAAACAGTATTTTTAAATAGTTCTTGATTCTCGCATAACAGGAAACATCCTTTCCATGTGTACCGTTTCAAGACACCTTAAGATTTAATATGTTTCCACCAAGCCACACTTATACCTCTAAACACCAGCAGATAAAAGCTTTGCCTGTCCAACTTT